CCCCAAAACCCCAAAACCCCAAAACCCCAAAACCCCTTTTTGAGGTTTATAATAGAAATAATAAAAGTAAAAGAGTACCCTACAAGAAATGGAAGCTAAAAGAGTAAGCAAACGGAAGATAAAACGCCCCAGTTATCTTCAGAATTTCCACACAGAAGATTCTAAGGACAACAAGAGAGAAAATCATGAACCTAAGCAGAATTTGACAAAGAGAAATCCTGGAAAACTCAAAATGGAGCTAAAAATTAAGCCTAAAAGCTCTGTGAAGACTAAAACTAAGCAAGGGGACAGCAAAAAGTTGACTAAATCAGGAAGCTCAGCTCGTAATGGGTCTCAAAGTAAGCCAGCACCAAGCCCTTTCAAATTAGCGGCCTTTCGTCTGATCCTGCAAGATGAATAATTCTTCTTTAGAGAAGACCAACCAGTCAACCAAAGCACCACTGATCCAGAATATAAATCAAAGAGAAAAGAGTGGGAAAGCAGAAAAATAATGGTCATGAAGACATCCACACTGCATTGGACAACATTTTAGCAAAGAAAAGAAATTTTAGCAGTCCTGACTTTGAAGAGGTAAACTCTGGTCTTGAGACCATTAAAGAGATGGCTTCTCACTTCAAAAGTGATAATAAAGTCAAGAAATTAGTCCAATCGGCTTTCTTTGATGGAGAATTGTCCTCTGACGAGAGTGATGAGGACAGTAAAAAGGAAGCAACCATGGAAGCACAAGAAATATCACAAGGCATTCAGCAGAGGTTAAAAATACCACCTTTAAACCTCCTTGGCTCTGCTTTTGTGAGCCCACAGAAGCAGAAGATTCATGATGAGGAGATATCAAAGTCTCATAATGAGCCTTTGCCAGAAGAACCAGATAGGACTCATTCTGTGTTTGACTTGCTTCTTCAGAATAGAAGGAATAATCCTTCTCAACAGTACAGTCACACAAACGATACATCGAATTTGCTAGATAACCAACCTGCAGAGTCTAGCACAATAATGGAGAATATTCTCACTGAGTATTTGATCAACATGCCTTCCACACTAGAGGAGTTTTATAAAATAATGGGAGAGATCTACGTCAAAGAGCTTCTAAAGAATTTTCCACAGATAAAGACTCCTCAAGAACTAATGAAGCTCACTATACTAGGAAAGAGCCCTACTAGCATTGATTCCAATTCAAACAGCTTGCTCAGTAGTCTTCTTCAGAATATTTTGAATCAAAATAGAAGTCAAGAGGTTATAAATCATGGAACTGAGCAGAGTATGAATAGCCGGTTGACTACAGAGAACCAACTTGGAAGTCTTCTAGAGAGACCCTTACCAGACATCATGCAGGAAGTGCCAGAGCTTCCTGCTCTAAATTCTTCCCCTCACAATTCAAAATCAGAAAGTGTGAATGAAGAACTTGTGAAAATTTCTCCAAAGAGGTCACAGAAACCACAAAGGAAGAGGATAAAGAAGCAGGAATCTAAACAAAGAGAGCTAGAGCCTATGATATCCTCCCTCATGAACCCTATTCAAGAGCACATCCCTCTTATTGAGAGAGCAAAGAGGTTGTTGAGGAAGAGAAAGGCAGATAATAATGGGTCTATAATCCCTCAACCTTCTCCAAACCAGGTCTCAGCAATACTAGATGAAGATTTCAAAAATTGCCATCTCAAGACAGAATCCTCAACTGAGATGACCATAAAGCAGATATTTGAGGAAATTTATGACAAGAGCATCAGTCATTTATAATTTAATCATTCAAACACTGGACTGCGATAGGGGTTTTGGGGTTTTGGGGTTTTGGGGTTTTGGGG